AATCAGCCCCTTTTTACTTGAAGCATCTTCTCTTATTTTATACACCCATTCCTCGTCATGTCTTTTCTCTGCTCGCTGACTAAAGCATAGACTGTAAATGGCTGATGGTGTCTAATTCCACATTTCCTCTGGCGTTCATAATATATTGCTGCCTCATTACTTCATCGTGCTCCTTAAGATTCTAGCACCACAATGAGGTTGACAATTGTGAATAAAATGAAATACCCTGACAACTATTGGATTGATTGCTGTGATATTTGCGACAGATATTCATGGTCTATAGAGGATAAATTCTAAGGACTTTGGTGATCTTATGTGATCTTACTTTCTTCTAGAGTTGCCAGCAGGTCAAAGTTTTCACCTACTGAGTGAAATAGCTTGACATCTACAGGATGGATTGGCAAACATTTTGTACAGACATTAATGGATCCCTGACAACGAATCCTAATGATATTGGTGATCCTTTGACTTTTCATCTAGTACCATCATCAGCTCAAATTTTTTATTTGCACAATAGTCAAGTCAAGTAAATTTTATTTACATATTCCGATATCACATATCACAAATTTACCTCAAGGGGATTTACAGTCTGTACAACAAATGATAACCTGTGTCCTTAGATCCTAGAAAGAACCTTTTGGAAGAACAACAGAGGAGGGATGCCTCTTCAACAGACAATGGACAGACGCTCAGGATGACACAAATAGATTGTAAATTAATTATTATTGTAAACATATATGAAGAATATAGATCAAGGAGGATGATGAGCAACTGCCACGTGCCTCCAAACAGATAAGACCACATGACCTCCTCTGCACCATGAAGACCTTTGATTTCTAACCAAATACGTGCAAAACTAATGACATCCTCATCAACCTTAGCTATTACCACTGTAAGCATGCTAGTATGCTAAAGTTCTGTCCCTGTAAGACAGCCTACAGCCACACAAAGCCGCTTTGAAATAAATCTTTTAGTATCAAACAAACCACCAAATATATTTACATCAGTTAGTACATAAAAACAAGATGAAGCCAAGAAACATCATACTAATCTAAATTCCAGACGGACACATTTCCACTGGAAAAATAAAAGGCAGATACTGTTAAGAATATTTCTTAGGTGTCTTAGTTGTGTAACAGGGAAAGGTAAGACAGGTATAGTTTAGAGTAGTTTAGCTGACCCCTAAGTGTTTATCTGACATTTATGACTTCAGGTATTTCTCACATGTACTTGTCCTGGTCAAGATGACAACAAAAGACTGATTAGGTAGAGACTGACAGCTGGCTCACGATATTTCTCAACACATACAATGATACTGAAACTAGAAATAATGACACAGAAACAAGACTGTCAAAGACACAGACATTTTAGCTAGTGTGGCTGTAGACTAGAGGCTGACATTTTTACGGGAATCCTGTGGGACACCTGAAGGATGGGAGTCAATTTCACAATTCATCACAGGAACTGCATGGGATAGAAAAAAGTCAATGGGAGCAGGAAGGATGGGATTAATAGGTCATTTTCAGATTTTCTTTTGTGATCGGGATGGAACAGGAGTCATTCTTTCAGGACTGAGACGGGACAGGAATTTTTACTCTTTTAAGGATATTTTTGTGGGAGTGGGATGAACATCCCATGTCACTCTCTACTGGACACTCTTAGACTATTGAAATTGAGCAAATGGCTTATGGTTAATAGTGGAAATTACACCAACCTGTTTAATCTAAAATAAAACACCTAAGAACAAAATATTGACCTGACATAGTACAACTTTACAAAAAGTTTAAAAAGGTCTGCTGTGTTCTTGGGTTTGGGTGATGACTGTAAGTGCAATTGCAATAAACTAATAAGAGAATCAGACAGGAGTTGCCACTGCAGGTACATCGCCCTCACACGAGTCCAACTGTTTTCACTGCCTAAATAAAATGGGCACAGGAGACAGTTGTGCCATAACGGGTTGCAGTCACAGATTTCATCTGGAAGAACAGGGGCAATGAGACAGCCAGCACGGGTTATTGCCAATATGGTCTCCGCAGCACTCAATCACTGTTAAATTAAATTTAAGGATGACTGATGCTACCAATCAGCGACAGGTTAGCAAGGTCAAATTAAGATCCATACGCTGACCTTTCCTTGGCTGCCTCCTTTCAGAGTGCCTATCATCAGGGCTATCAATAGGGACTAATAAGCTTTAATGGTCAGATCCTGGCAGTGCGCCATCACTTACACTATAGCCCAGTGCTCACCAGGCCCGGGCAAGGTTATACCGCTGTTGACAAGTGCCCTCAATAAAAACTCTATCATCTCAGCTATTGCAGTGCATCAACAGCTCCTTCAACACAATCGTCGACCCAGCATGAAACCATCTTAAAGCTTGGTTGGTTTTTGTCCTGTCTGGATGACAGTGCAGAAGGACAAGGTCAGAGGTATTCTACATTTTTATTATTGTCGACAAATCCTGTGAAAAGACCAAAACTAACAATGAATTGATCTTAAAAACAAGTAGTAGTATAGCCAAAGCCTGATATAACTCATTCCAGTGACATAGACGTCTATAGTAAATAAACTTTCAAAAATTGAAAGCACATCATTGAGCCACACCGTTGACACCCTTGGCGACATGTTCCTTCATTGTGATGAACCTGGGCACTTTTGAGTAAATCTTACATACACCATCCTGCTGTCCTGAAAACTCACTAGAGTACTAAATATGTATCAATCCGCATCTTGAAATAGTCTCCAACAAATGTACTATTTCCTCCAGCTCTAGTAATGTTTGCTAAAAACTAAAGTGCCCAGCTGTTTTAGAAAGTTACTGAGACCTTTTCACATTTGCAAACTGTTTTTAATCATTTACATCTTCTGTCGAAAACAATGGGCTATGAAATATGGAGAGCTTTTGAGAGAGGACTTATTGCATTGTTGTTTTCAGTCTTTTCAAGTGATTTGTTCACAATAAGAAAAACAAAGATTAACGGCAGTCACGTTCCTTTCAGCTATTACCCAGCATGTATGGACATTTACACTACATGTACACACCATTTTGCTGGAGCATCTCTCTTGTGTAGTGTGTTGGTTACAGACGATTGTGGTTGGTCTTGGTGATTTTACATGCCAATCCAGTGATGACCTTCTCACACCAAAAAGTTATAATTGTACCAGCCACTATTATCAGCTTGGCATCTCTAATTTATATTTGTTTATTAAACTGCTGCCCTTTCTAGTCTGCTGCTAATGAGAAACAGATCATTAGGTGAATTTGTCATTCATTTGTCTGGGTTTTTTTTATTGACCATGTACAAGAAACATTTTCAAAACATGTTTTATCATAATGGTAATGATGACAAAATGCTGTAAATTAAATATTATTTTATACTTTCCTCGTCTTCATCTTTATTACCTTCTTGTTGCGCTTAATTTGAGCAGCAGTAATCAAGGAAGAAGAAACCTCCTCGGTCTCTTTCGCAGCAGACGGATATCTTTAGCTTTTGTCATTATTTCAGAATGCTATGAATAAATGTGGACATTTGGGTGAGCTTTTATGCATTGTAATAGAAATGTGCAGACTCACCAAGGCTTGCACAGAGTGATCGAGCTGTGAACTGTGAAAATGTCAGCCCCTATTAATAACAATGCTGGATTAAGTATGCTGGATCTTAACGTCTGCACTTCATCCCGTATATTTAGATGATCAACCTTAGAAGTCTATGTCACACAGTGAGTGATTTTTTTCCCCTCCTGATTGTGGCCTTCAGAGTGAAGCTGCAGCCCTGGGATTAATACGCCTCTCTCAGTCTGCCTCGGTTAGGCTCAAAGCCACAAAGCCACAAGGAAGCCGAGCAGCAGCCGCCTGCAGTGCATAACAACAACTCCAAATCTGATAGAATTGGACAAGTCAATGTGTGGGTGTAATTCTTGTGAAGAAAAAATAATACTGTTTCAGTTTAAATGTAACATTTTAATGTATTGTAGCTGTTACTCCAAAGACAGAGACAAATGTTGTAGGGCTGCAACTAATTAATTACTTTTTTGATCAATTGATTAGCAAATTGATCTGTAAAATGTTTGAAAATGGTGGAAAATGCCCATCACAATTTCCCAGAGCTCCAGTTGATGTCTTCGAATTGATTATTTTGTCCGACCAACAGTCCAAGACCCAAATACATTCTGTTTATTTGACACAGAGTAGCTGGAACCAGTTTGTTTTTGTATTCATTTCTTTATTTTTTGCTTGAAATATGACTTAAATGATTAATGGATTATCAAAATAGATGCTGATAAATGCTTTGTTGATCAACTAAGCCACTGATCGACTAATCGTTTCTGCTAAAGCTCAAACTTTTGTTTTAGGTTAGAGCTTTGGAAGTTTGAGCGAGTGTGTGTGTGTTAGTGATCACTGATGACTCGAGCAGGAGAAGAGATAAAAAGTCACTGTAAACAAAGAAAGATGAGAATAGAAATAGTAATTGATTTTTGTGATTTTTAAAATACATTTTTGTTCCCAAAAACAAGTGCCACACCATCTTGTGAAAAAAAAGCAGACATTTTTTGGAAAGAGTCATATCACATCTTGCCGGGTCAGATCTTTTCAGCTTTTCAGGCTGGATTTCTTCCAGCAGCGTTGACGCAAATCAGTGCCACCTCGGTTCACTGGAGATCTCCTAGCAGTATTTGGACACATGCATCTATTTATTTCAGCCTACACTGTGCACACCCTGCCTGAGGGCTAATTACATTTGCACAGTCCAGAGGTCTTCTATTGTTGCCTTTTTGAGAGACCTCCCGAACACAACGGCAGAAAAGAAAATATGTTGAGATTTAAGGAAAATGAAGCCTTTAACAGTGATCCACTGGTATCTGTAATGAACACAGAGATCACAGAGAGTTTAAAACTCGTAAGCATACTTACAAGTAGCACAGTTTATTTGTGTGTCTGAGGTGGAAACACACACACGCACTCACTTGCACTCACATGCACTCACACATGCAGTGAGGACTATGTACAATAAAGAGGAGAAAAAGAGACACAGAGAGGGAAGCACAGTTGACTTCCTCTGTCGTTACTCACACCTGCAGTAGGATGCAATCTCCATAGCAACAGGACTTGGCAACACTGTGCAGAGTTGATATTTGAGGTTGTGATCTTTAATACCCCTTTTCTCTCCCTTTTCACTGCAGTATTTTGTAGCAATGCAATTCTGTGTGTGTGTGTGTGAGCGTGTGTGTGTGTGTCCCTCCTTCATCCTTAATGTGTTTGTGTCACAATTACCAAGAAATTAGCCCTCTGCTGTCATCAATCTGTCATCTGGAAATGATCATTAAACCGAAACACTCATCCCAAATCATGCTCATACTCAGGGACAAACTGGCATAATAATTAGCTTGCCCACATCTCTCATTTCCTGGCTGCCTGAGACCCAGTACTGTTTTAGTGTTCACGGCATGAAGATATGTAGCTCAAATGTGCGGGTTGTATGATACCATTTCGTTTAAACATTAACCGCTACTACAGTCATTCCCATATTATCACAGTCAAATTACTCAAAAAAGTCAGTTTAGCAGGACAGCCGTGGCTTACAGTAGAAAAGGCATCATTAACAATAACAAGTGACATTGCTGAAATCTATTTTCTATTTGCTCAGCACAAATGACCTAGATTTCTTAGAGTTTTATTAGAGTTAAAAAAACTGAACATGTCAACTCTGCTGTCCTGTTACAGAGCATTTTAATAAAGTATGTGAACATGCTTCATTTATTGTATAAACTTTGGTGTGTCAGCTACTCTGAAGGTGTCTTTCTCCTGAGTGGCTTCACTTATTATTATTAGTGTTAAGAAAATCATTTTAAACACTCCTAGCATGTTCCTTGATAAGTGTGTAGTTGGTTAAATCTGCACATGTGGAATTCTTCTTGATAATAACTATGAGTATATTATGTATCATTAGATGCTCTGAACACTACTTACAATATTACCCAGCAGGTTTTTATGCCCTCTGATGCAAGCATGTCCAAATCCTTCGTAACTTTAAGTGTAAAAAGCTAAAAAAAAACATACCTCCATAAAAGAGGTCATATTTCATTGGAAGATGAAATATGACATCGTTATAATAAACAAAATGCATAACACATAACACATGCACACCTTAAAACCATCTATAATTCATCCACGATGAATTACATTTTTTTAAATTTTATTTCACAATGACCTTGGATGTCCACTTGCGCTGAATTTGTTGCTACTCAGTTCCTTTATCCCTCTTAAATATTCATCTAGTAGCCTGCATTTCCTTCTCTCAAGAAGTGCAGCCTCATCATGTGCTAATGACGAGCCTGGTGGCCACACAGCCCCAATCCGGGTGATGGTTGACTTGACACTGCCATCTAGTGGTCACGTGAAAGGAGCAGGTCCTGGAAGGCACCAACCAATAAACATGTTAGTATGCTAATACTGTATTTTTACCCTTTCAATTAGCATTTATAGGCCGGATCTAAACAACTAATAGATGGTTTATAGCACACTTTAATGTAGCTGTAAGCAGATGTAAGGTCATTTCTATTGTTTCTCAATGCTGGAGGGACATATGTATTTTGTTATATATTATACAACAGCCTATACAATGCTTACTCATACTATATTCTATTATATTCTATTATATTCTATATACTGTTATTCTATGTTATATTGCTATACTATAGGCTATAACTACATTTCAACTTATATTATATGCTATATCCCCTACATTATACTGTCCTATATCATACTATATTATGTTAATTTCTTATACGTTTTATTACATTATACACTATTTAACATTTCTATTGTATTTCTATATTAACATAGACAAACAATCTAGTCTTTAATTGCTGTCTTTAATTGTCCTAGTGCTGCTGCAGCATCTGAACTTCTCCTGTGGGGATCAAATCTTATCTAATTTGTCAGCGACTATAATCCTTCCTATGAAGCATCCACAACCATAGTGTTTGAAAAGTTAATGATGCATCTGGATGAGTGTTGAGCGCGTTTATAAACATTTTGCACTTGTGAATGATTTGTTCATGTGCAACACTTTAAACACTTTAAAAGTGCCCCTATATTTGCTTATAACTACATTATGAGTTTGTAATTATTTGTTAAGTGTTTAAACACTGCTTTTAAATGTGAAATGGAGGACCAAAATAGGTCAGTGAAAACTTGATAAGACAGTTTAACATAATTGTAATCATATTATGATTTATGACTCCACGCACATCTTTACAATGTGTTAAAAAGCATGTGGTAACTGTTTATACACATGTACATTTAAAACTGTTTATAAATGTGTTTAAAACTCAGACAGATAATTATATATGATTACAGATAAGTTATATTATGTTATTAAGTATCTATCAATTAACTGTTCATACACCAGTTATAGATGCTTCATAGGAAATACATTCATAAACACTGTCCTTACTTTTTATAATCTCTTATGAACAATATTTATACAGCTGCATTTATACACTACTTATAAATGCTAAATAAACTGTTTTCACAACTCATGAAGACCTATCATTATATATGATTACTAATATAATATCAAGCATTCACTAACTGTTATTCAGTTATGGATGTTTAATGACAGGAGGTGTTGACAAATGCATTAACATTTTCAAAGTTCCCTTAGATTTGGTTAAAATTACATTAAGCATGATTAACACTGCTTACACATGTTGAATAGGGGGATAAAACGTTGTATCAGTATTTATTGAATGAGAAATGTATTTATGATGAAAACAACAATTAAGTTATAATTGAGATAGTTCTGCATTTTTATTTTCTACAAAAGTGGTGAACAATTAAGATACCTTTTGGATGAATTATTTACTATTTTTTCTAGCCTTCATTCTACAAGTGACAACTTCATTGGTGAACCTTTAGAAACAAACAAACAAAATAGAAAAAAGCAATAGACGTCATCAAGCATATCCCCCCGCCCCCCACACTTCTATCCACCTTCAAACTGCCTTTAGGCTTCAGTTGTGTGACGAGTCAGTTTATTAGTGCACATAATTGTTTTGGGATTTGACCATCATCTTTCTCCCAGATCAGCGTAAAACGAAAAAACTAAGCAATGTAGTTAACTGTGGATGGTGTCATATTTATATGGATATACCCCCCACCCCACACCCGCCCTCTTAAAGTGCATACCATTTCCTGTAACAACCATGTTGTTGTCATGGACACAGATAGAAAAAAAGGTAGAAAAAAGAAAAAGAAAACATCATCTGTGTCCATAGCAACTGAGTCAAGTTTAGTGCTGCCAAAAATGGTTTAGGCAAAAGTCTTCCCAGAGATGTGAGATATGTGTATTAGATGCAGCGCCTTTCCTTGCGTGGCACATACAGTTTGCATCTCGTCTGACAGCCTATACAAAGATCAAAATACTCCTGCTAGAGTCTTAAGTAAACACTATAACACAAAAGGGCATGCTAAAATCAATCCACAGAAATAATGTTATTAAAAATTGCAATTATAGGTGTTGTTTAATATTGAGGAATGGAAAATGGCTTCCACACAGTCTCTGGTTGATGCTCAGTGAGAGAAAATAGGCCCTTTTCCCCCTGAAAACAGAGCAAGGCATCCTCAGGAAGCCTCTAATCCCCTTTAGAAATCTTAGTCAACTACTATTAATAGAAAGCACCCATGGTGCCCTCTGCTGGAGATTCATCCGAGCTGCTGATGTGCACTGCACTGTATTTTGGAGCATCAAGCAGTGCTGCAGGACTGTTCACAGACTGGTGATATGTTGGATTTCATGTACACAAGACTATGCTGCTTGTTTCACGCTAAATGAATCATGAGGCTGGCACTTTCAAATTCACTGCAGCATTGATCAGCCGTGTCTGTGCTCTGTGATGTTGAAAGCCGGCTTGTTTCACCATAAAGACATTTTCCCACATGCATGTGTGCATCATCCTGCAGTCAGCCAATCCCCAAGCTCCCCCTGCTCTCTCTTTCAGGGCGTCATTAGTGGGAATTACCTGGTCTCCGCAGGAAAAGCCTATTCAAGCTTCCACTAAACTGAGTGCCTCTTTTGTTTGCAGACAAAATAGTGCAGTGGAAATCTCCCTCTGTCTTAGGCTAATCATCTATCGTTATTTAACAACTGGCAATCATAACCCAGGAAGGGTACAAGGTCACTTCAGGTGTCCTCCATTTGGATGCAACCTCTTAAAACCTCTGACATACAGCCTCTACTAACATTTCAGCGTTTAGAGTTTAATGACATGTTTTGCAACTCACTTGCCGAGCATGCCCTATTTTATGGCTACAAATAAATGCAAAGATCTTATTTAAATAGAGAGTTGGCTTAGTTTTAAATTCAGCAATGGTTGTGTGTAGTTTGACTCCAGAAATGGAAGATTTCGCATTGCATTGCAATGCTGCAGCCTTCCAGCGATACGCGATGATGTGTGCTCTGACCTCTTGTTCATACACTCTGATCCATCAACCCCGGGTCTCTGTGCTGTCAGTGTGGGGAGGACGCAACAAAACCACAAGCTTTAAAAACTTTTGTCAACCTACAGCATCACTCTGGGAGGAAGTGCATTTACATGTGGATGTTGCTGTGGACTGATTCAGTGCTCTGTATGCAGGTGTGTGTGTTTTTCATGTATTTATATCCCCGTGGGGACTTTAACCTGAATCACACATACTGAAAAAAAAATTGAGGTCAACATGGGTAGACATGCTTATTGAGGGTATTGAAGTTTTTAGGTAAGGCTAATGGTTAAAGTTAGGCATGTAGTGATGCTTAAGGTTAGGGTAAGAGGCTAGTGAACGCATTATGTCATAACATAATGACTGGGATAGAGGAACGTGTGCGTGCGTGCGTGCGTGCGTGCGTGCGTGCGTGCGTGCGAGAGAGAGAGAAACAGAAAAGGTAAAACCAGACTGATGTGAGTCTGTGGGAGACAGAAAGACAGAGAAGAAAAAGAAGAGGAATTTATGTGTGTGTGTTTGTTTGTATAGATGACCCTGCCTACACTGAATTGTGTGTGTGTGTGTGTGTGTGTGTGTGTGTGTGTGTGATGGCCCCGGTGCTGCTGATGGTGGGAATGCAGTGCAGCTAATCCCAGAGGAGAGCAGAGCACTGCAGAGGAGATGCTTGGCAGATCTCCCCTCATCCGTGTGACTGTTGTTGGCGGCTGGTGTGGAGATGAAATCCGGAACTGGATCAAAAAGCGAGCCAGCCGTGTTTAATTTGCACGGGACTTTTCACACTGAGGGGAGGTACCAGGCAGACATAACCAGCACCAAAGCATACAGAGACGTCTGCCGTCCTTCCTCTGCCAACTGCATGTCCATGAGTGACTATAGACAACAGGCAGAAGGGTCAGAGCACACCGCTGCACTGGATGTGCAACCTGATTCTCATTGAAAAGACTGTGTTACTGTCTTCAAAGAAACGATAAACTGACACACAAAAAGCTACTTTTTCCACATTTTAAAAGACAGGAGATAACTCATATATTCCAGTGTTTAAATAGAGTTTCACAGATGAAGTGCTAAGCTGTCTTTCGAGATATTGAATCATAAACCTCAGTTAATTATTTATTCCTTAGTTATGATGTACAGCAATTGGGATTTCAACTGGATTAAATCAAGCTCTATTACAGATTGTCTGTGTAGTTTCTAACAATTATGAATAATTTGTGAACAACTGTTATATTCACACATTAAGATTAACTTAATTAAGACATTAAGACTGCTTTGTCCATACTGCATCCAGCGTTTCAGATTATAAAGCTACTACCACTATGATCAAATGTTTTAATGTGGGTGTAAATGTTATTAAATGCTTTGCATCTGTTTAGGAAGAAAGAAAAGCTAAAAGCTTTTTAATTATCGCATTTTATCTTTTACAAGTTTTTATTTCATCTTTAAATTATTTTTTAACAATTAAAAAATAATTTGTTTCTGCGTTATCCTGTTTTACACATGTTTAACTGCAAAGCACTTTGTGACACTTTTTTTTGTGTGAAAGTGTAATGAGGTCATTATCATCCTTTCCTGGGACAAAGTCAATCCTCCTGTAGCACAATGACTTGACAAAGCACAGACCAGGGAGCGAAAAGATAATCTCAGTGCTTATTTTCAGCCAGTAAGAGACAGGACAGCACCAGGGATGAGGTGGGGCCAGAGGGACATAAAACTGCCCATGGGACGTGAGCTCAAAGTTACTTGTTGGATGCAGATGAATGCTAAATGGACACCACGCTGTGCTAACATGAGTGGACACAGACTGCGACTGGACAGCACTTTGGTTGCGATGATGATGAAGTGAAGCAGCGGCAAGCTTCCTCTGAGGACATTTGAGTTCATCAACGTTAAACTGTGGACAAAGTCTTTCATAAACATTGTGGAC